CTAATTTTAGCGGAATCCAAAGACCGGTGAGATTTAGAGCTCCTGACTGTAAGAGAAAGAGAGTGCTCACTGCCTCGGTCTGAACTCTGAGATCCACTAGCCCAGTGAAATGGTTCTGTGGGTAAAGGGGCTTGCTGCCAGGCCCGAGGACCTGCCCTCCATGCCCAGTACCCACAAACAAAAATAAGTGAAGTCTGGGAACCAGTGTATTTATGTCACAAATATTCTTAGGGAGAGAAATTTGATTTACAAGTTACTAGTAATGTTAAATGTTTCCAAGACACACCAAATTTAAGTGAGACAGTCAGCATACAAAACCAATGATCTTAATTGTTTTTTGTTTTGTTTTGGGTTTTTTGTTTGTTTTTTTTGAGACAGGGTTTCTCTGTGTATCCCTGGCTATCCTGGAACTTGCTCTGTAGACCAGGCTGGCCTCATCTGCCTGTCTCCTGAGCACTGGGATTAAAGGCATGCACCACTATTGCCTGGCAATCTATAACTGTTCTGGCCCAAAGTCTACATTATCATTAATGAAGGAAATAAAAGCTAATATAACTACACTGAAGATGCCAGCATCAAAATTCTAGTACATTTTAGTCTTTTAAAAAAGTTAAGTGGAGGCCTGGTGGTGGTGGCGCACACCTTTAATCCCAGCTCTTGGGAGACAGAGGCAGGAGGACCTCTGTGAGTTCAAGGCCAGCCTGGTCTACAGAGCAAGTTCTAGGACAGCTAGAGCTACACACAGAGAAACCTTGTCTTGAAAACAACAAAAAGTTAGGTGGAGAGGGGAAGGATGTCCCAGTGGTTAGGAGCACTGAGTGCTCTTGCAGAGGACTTAGACTCAGTTCCTGGCACATATTTGGTGGCTCACAACTGTCCATAAATCCAGTTGCATGGGATCTAACGCCCTGTTTGACCTCTCTGGGAAGTGGGAAGCAGGCACACACGGTACACATATGTAAGCAGACAATACGCATGCACATAAAAACAAATGAATCTCCTTTTTGTAGGTAACAGCTAGGGAGATGACTTGCTACGTGAGCATGGGGACCAGAGACTGGCATTCCTCACAGCCGTGTAAAAATCCAGGTGTGGGTATAGACCTGTGATCCCTGCACTGGAAGGCAGAAGCAAGAGGGTCCCAGGGGCCAGCGAGCGAGCTCCAGTTTCAACGACTCTGTCTCAGAGACTAAGGAGCAATAGAGAAAATCAACCTTTGGCATGTGCGCTAGCACCTGCTCACGCACGCAAACATACACGCGCTTGCGCACACATGCACATAAGTAAATGCTAGTTGCGTTAGTGTTGAAAATGTTCTGAGATTGGGGGGGCTGTTCAGGACATTTTACTTTCAAACTGACTTTATACTAAGCTGTCCCTAGCAACAGGATGATCACAGGTTCAGCCACACTAGCAAGTACATAGGTGTGACCTTCACGGTGTTTTGTTTACAGCCCCCTAGTGAAATAAGGGTTTCATCTTACACCCCACTGCATTCCACATTCCCAGTGCTTGAGGAAAAGCATCCACCATACAAACGGGATGCAATGCAATAAGCGTTTAGTGAATGCATTCACTGGCGTATTGGTAGAACTGGTACACAGTCTAGTGAGCTTTTGGGGTGTCTTCATTGTACACTGTGATGGGTGCACCGTGCCTGAGCTCCGAACCTGGTCACCTCACCTTCTGGCCTCCTAGAGTGCAGCAGAGGGTGATTCTTAAAAGAATCCTGGGGACTTAGAGAGGAAGTGGCCCAGAAGATGGTTTACAGTAACTTAGTGCTTGATATTTGGGTTCCTTTTCCTAATATGTAACCTTATCTATAACAGCAAAGCACTGGAGGAAACTATTATTTTTCTAGAGTAACCCCCTGGATTTTGTTTGCTTTGTTTTTGTACCTTTGAAATTTCTTTTCAAGGCAAGGTTTCTCTGTGTAGCCCTGGCTGCCCTGGAACTCAGTGTATAGACCATGCTGGCCTCAAATTCAAGAGATCCACCTGCCTCTAGCTCCAGAGTGCTGCGATTAAAGGCGTGCACCACCACTGCCCAGCCAGTTATTTTTCTATTGGATCAGAAATTATTTGGCCCCTTAGGTAGGGATATGTTTACTATTCAATTTTTTTCCTGGCCTCCTTTTCAAATTGCTACACATATCCCTAAATATATATACAATCTGCTCAGTTCATATGTTGCCTATATGTATGTTTTCAAGGCTGACCATTGGTGTTGGATAGCCAGTCTGGGGACTCATCCCTGGGGAAGAGCATCTCTTCAGCCTTCACCGTTCCTTAGTTGCCTGTAGGTCTTCTAGACTTTCCCTCGTCCACAGGAGCATGTCTACTGGTATCTCCCTTGATACGGTCACATTTATGCAGTCATAAGACTTCCTGGGTGTAACTTCCCTGTCATTTCCAGGAAGACATGATCTCACAGGAGACTTCCTGTGCTGGCTCTCACAGTCTTCCCACCCCCCATTCTGTAGTCCCCGAGCCCAAGACACGAAGTGCCACACACATTTGTGTCATCCTCACATAAGGGCCACGCTAATCTTCTCCGTGTCATTTAGTTGTGGATGTTTGTGCTGTGGAAGTGAGCACCGAGTATGCAGGCTTGTGCAGGATGGGAAGGGAAAAGATAGAACCCAGCGGCCCCTAATACTGTCCTTAGTTTACTCTGTGACTCACTATATTGTCCCTGTAGCCAAAGAAAATAATTCCTGGGGTGGAAAGGGTCCATATTCATTTGGAGATTAGTTACCTGCCAGTTTAAAAAGGGATACTGTCTGTCCTGTGGGGCCAGCATGGCATGGTGGTCACATTGCATGCTGGTTTTTGTATCCCCCCAATCCTATTTTTTGTCATCTCTGTACGAGTTACTTCATTTGTTTTTTCATTTATGTGTTGGGGTAATTTGCCTGTATGTGTACCCTGTGAGTGCTGTGCCCAGGGGCATCAGAAGAAGGCATCAGATGTCCTGGAACTGGAGTTGCAGATGGCTGTGAGTCACCATGTGGCCGCCAGGAATTAAACCAGTGTCCTCCGGGGGGAGCCGCCGGTGCTCCAGTAACTCCAGGACGAGTTACTTCCGTTGCTGTGACCAAAGACTCGACAAGCAACTAAAAGGGGAAAAGTGATTTTGGTTTACGCTTTGAGGCTACACCCATCATGTCGAGGAATTCATTCAAGGGCGAGTGAGGCAGCTGGTCCCATTATATCCACGGGGGGAGAGGTAGCTCCATTTCCCAGCACCCACATGGTAACTCGGAACCATCTGCAACTCCGGTGCCAGGGCGTTCAACACCATCTTCTGACCTCTGCAGGCGTCAGGCATGTGCATGGTGCCCAGACACACAGACAGGCAAAACACTCAAACATAGAATGAATATATCTAATGAAATCCAAATTGACATGGTCAGCTCACATCATCTTGGGTTTCATGGAGTCTGGTGGATGCAGGTCAAAATTATCTGTTTACGTGACATTCAGGGTCTGTGGAGCATCTCTGGGTGAAGAAACCCATGTTTCCACCCTTTTCTCATTGCGGAGGTGCGGTCTAGTGTCTCTTTTCAAACTGAACGGCAGCCTCTGCCTTGTGGCTCAGTCCTGGTGGTCTCATTTCAGGAAAGTCTGCCCCAGAGTTGTCCTTTCAATCACGTCTCCCCAGCCCTCTCATGACATCAACGTAATGGAAAACAGAATGTTCCTGAACCTAGCACTGAATACATGGGGTGCATGTGGTGGTGCATAGCTATGAACCCAGACTGGGGAGGTAGAGGCAGGAGGATCAGAAGTTCAAGGCTAGCCTGGGCCACAGGAAACCAGTCCTCAGTTACATGTTGAGTTCAAGGCCAGCCTGGATTACAAGAATTTTCTGTCTCAAAACAAAGGAGTGAAAAGACTCACAAAAGTCAGACAAAACAAAGCTGCAAATGAAATATGTAAGAGCGAGTCTGCTCTCACTGAAGGGACAAGCTGTGTGTCCACTGCCTCCCACACAGCAGCCTAAACGGATGAACAAGCTTTCTCAGCTTGAGCCTTTACCATTGGCTGGATCTAATTCTTTTTTTTCCCCGAGACAGCGTTTCTCTGTATTGCTTTGGAGCCTGTCCTAGAACTTGCTCTTGTAGACCAGGCTGGCCTCAAACTCACAGAGATCCGCCTGCCTCTGCCTCCCGAGTGCTGGGATTAAAGGCTTGCACCACCACCACCCAGCCTGGATCTAATTCTTACAAAAGTAAAGTGGTGCATTTCTATTCACACTGGCAAGAGATACTTAATCTCCTGTCTCTTAAAAGCAAGTACTTGAGGCTGGAGACACAGCTCGGCAGTTAAGAGCACTTGTTACTCTTGCAGAGGACCTGGGATCCGTTCAAGCACCTACATGGCAGCTCACAACCATCTGAGACAACGCCAGTTCCAGGGGACTAGACACCCTGTAAGAGCACTGCATGTGTGTGCACGTGAACTCATGCACCCGTGCGCGCGTGCGCGCACACACACACACACACACACACACACACACGCACGAAAATAATCAATATAGATGGGACTCGACAGCCACAGGAGATACAGTGAAGAAAGATGGTGTGCGGGGGAGAAATTGGACTTGTGAAGGAGGCAGGATGGGTGGGGTGGCTGGCTGCTCACACTTCAGGGTGATGGCTATGCCCTCGTCTGAAGTAGATGGAGCCAGCGTCCTGCCTTTCAAATCTGTCCACTAAAAGACTGCCTTAACTCTCATGTGCACCCAGAAGAAAGCTCCGGGTAGGAGAGGAGCGTCACCATAGGGACTCTGAAAGATGGAGGCCATCCAGACAGCTCTGGCCTTTTCCCTTTGGAATCGTGCCATCCAGACAGCTCTGGCCTTTTCCCTTTGGAATCGTAACGGAAGTGGGTATGCGGTGATTAGCGGAAGCGCCCAAGGGTAAAGTGCGTGCGTAGCTCATGCAAAGGCCTGGGTTTGCTCCACAGCAACAAGTCCACAATAAACGAGCCAGAGACTTAGAGGAGCAAATGACTTTAAAGCGACAAAAGCCCTGCTTCTAGAAAGCTCCTCCCGCTCCCTGTTATCCATGCGCGCGTGGGAATAGCCAGCGTTGCTCCCCCCGGCCCCCCCCCCCCAGCTCCGTGCTCAGGCTTCCAGGTCTTTGGGCTCGTCTGGAGTTAGCTTCATGAGTTTGTCCACACAGAGCAGGATGAGGGTGAGGAACCAGAGGCTCCAGCCGACCGCTGCCGCAATCCAGCCGTATTCATCCACTGAAGCTCGGCAGCACAGGGAGGCTAGTGGGCAGAAGTCGACGTCTGATGGGGGAGAGCAAGAGCGGGACTGTATCACACCAGCCACACCCCCTCAAATTAGTAAGAATGAGAGCAGGAGACAGCGGCTGGCCCTCAGAAGTTAGACATACACTAGGTCTTTGCCTCAAGCGCCCAAGGTAATACCAGCTGCCATTACCACTGTCTGGGTGCTGCGGATTGAGCCCAGGGCCTTGAGTGAGCATGCGCTGTGCCCGCGAGCTTAAATTCAGCCCTGTGATAGGTCCAGCTGGCATCCCTACTTCATACAGAGAAACCCAAAGTGTACTTTGCCCAAGACCACAAGAAGGCAGAAGTAGGGCTCACATTCCACCCTGTAGACCCCAAAGCTGTAGTCCCCGCCTCTCAGGCGCTGTTGCTCATCCCCTGTGTATAAGTGTAGCGATGGAAGGGCAGTTGGTCATTGGATGAGACCAGGATAAAGGGCCACAGCTGAGATGAAGCAAAACTTTCTGTTGATTGGACACGTATGACAGAAATTCCTCTTTGCTTTCTGAGCACCCTGGGAACGTCTCAGGTAGATGAACGGAAACCAGGAAAGAGACTACAAGCAGCTGCTGCTTTGGGCAGAGGCTGGACCAGCTGGGTTTTGCTTGTTTGAGACAGGGTTTCTCTGTTTAACTGCCCTGGCTGTCCTGGAACTCGCTCTGTAGACCAGGCTGGCCTCGAACTCACAGAGATCCGCCTGCCTCTGCCTCCCGAGTGCTGGGATTAAAGGCGTGCGCCACCAATGCCCGGCTTGGACCAGCTGTTTTTAATAGACTTCTCACCTCCAAATGCTAGAACATTTGTACTCAGGGCACCTTTGGCTGCTGACCAAGGCATGATTCATTAAATCCACCTGTATGTGAGACTATAAACTTCAATAAAATCCAAGCTAGTTTTTAACCTGCTCTGTCAACATCCTCCTTCCCCCATTAACTGGTAAGACCAGGCAGTCACTGGGCCACTTGACATCCATTAGTGGACGGAGAGGGGCCCCAGTTTCCTTCCTAGTTCAGGGGTGGCGCTAGGATCGGGACAGTTGACGGGGGAGGCTTACTGGCACACTGCTCCAGGGTCCCAGGGTCTGGGTGGTGTATACTCAGGGTTGAGTTGACGCTGCTGGCTTCTGCAAGAAAGGGCAAGAGGTAGTGTCAGGCAGAGGGCAACGTGAGTTCCAGGCAGAGGGTTCAGATTATCTGTGCATGAGTAGTGAGTATACAGACTGTTCTAGAAGGGCCAGTGAAGACGGTAGAGCTTTATGTGACATTAAGAGTCTAACAAGGGATGTAGCATTCTCCCCACAGCTGGCAGCTGAAGCCCTTGCTTCCCAATGCAGCTGGATTTGGAGACAGACAAAAGAAGTAATTAAGGCTAAATAAGGGTATGCAGAGTCCTAAAATCCCAGCACCCAGGAAGCAGAGGCAGGTGGATCTCCGTAAGTTCCAGGCCAGCCTGGTCTATGTAATAAAACCCTGTCTCAAAAACAAAAAGGAGGAAGAAACCCCACTAATGTTTGGGCTTAGAGGAATGGCCATCCATGGTCACAGTGAGAGAGAGACCATCTGTAACCCCGGGAAAGAAAAATCAAGCCTGCCCAACCTCCAGAACAGTGAGCAAGTATCTTTCTGTTAAAAGTCCCTCAGACAGTGGTATTTTTATTTTAAGTTCAAATGAAGGATTATTCTCACCTTTTTTGGGGGGGTGGTTTTCTGAGACAGGGTTTCTCTGTGTAACCCTAACTGTCCCGGATGACCTCAAATTCAGAGATTCCCCTGCCTCTGCCTCCTGAATGCTGCAATTAAAGGTATATGCCACCACACCCAGCTACCTTTCTTTCTTTAAACTTATGAAATGACATTGTTTGTTCTATTTTTAATTTTTAAATTAGCGTGAGATAGTAGGTTTTATTATAACATATTCATCCGTGAAGGTCATATACCCTGAACATTCTCCCATCCTACGGGTCCTTTTCCTCTTTCTAAGTTATCCTGTGCTGTTCTTCAACTTGAGATAGAGTAGAGTCACCTGGGGGAGGGATCCTCAATTGAGGAATTGCCAAGTCTGTAGGCGTGTTGGTGGGGGGCATTTCCTTGATAAAAGATGGCTGTGGAGGTTCTAAAGACTGATGTGTGGGAGGGCCCAGCTGTCTGTGGTAGGTCCTGATAAAAAGGCAAGCTTCGTGACCCGTGGAAGAGCAGACTAACGCTCCTTCACGGTCTCCGCTTCATTTCCTGCTTCCACGTTCTCGCCTTGGCGTCCCTGGATGGTAGATTGTAAATTCAGGTGAAATAGTTCCTTCCCTCTTTGTCCCAGCAATGAGGGAAGCACACCAGAATAGCCCCTCTTCCTTGCTCATGTAATAGACCTATAAATCCCCCTGTACTTATCTGGGACCCACATATGAGATAAAATGCATGAAATATGCCCTTCAGAGTTTAGCTCATTTTGCTTAACATGATTTCTAGTTCCATCCCTTTTTTCCTGCAAATGACACCATCTTATTCCTTATGTTCGTGTAAAACTGTAACATGGTGCCTGCCATCCATTCACCCATTGATGGACATCCAGGCTGGCACCGTTTCTTAGGGACTGTAAACAGTACAGCAATAAACATGGATGTGCAGATATCTGGGTGGCATCCACTTTATTGAATTCCCTTTTATTGTCACTTTATCCTCATCCAAAGACACTGTCCTCCTCTACCTCCTCCTCCTCTTCTTCCTTAAAAAAAAAAAAAGCTCTTCAGGTGAGCATGGTGGCATACTCCTTTAATCCCAGCACTTGGGAGGAGGAAACTGAGGGATCTTTGAGTTTGTGGCCAGTTTGATCTACATAGCAAGTTCCAAGCTGGCCAGGATTACATAGCAAGACCCTGCCTCAAAAGAAAGAGAACAGTTCAAGAGGCCAGCCTGGTCTACAGGAGCTAGTTCCAGAACAGCCTCCAAAGCCACAGAGAAACCCTGACTTGAAAAGCCAAAAAAAGAAAATAAAAAAAAAGAGAGATAACAGAGCAAAAACAAAAAGACCCGTTGCCGACCCTGCTTCCTGGGCAGACAGGTATAGCTATAGGACGGTCACTCCGGTGTGAACTGAATCAAGCCTGAACAAACCAGAATGTCTCTCCCATAGCAGATTCAGTTTCTTTCCACCACGTGAACAATAACCCACTGAACTCTGACCCCGATTCTTCGTCTCTAATGGTTGTGATGTAGTTGCCCAGGCATACGGCTATCAACAAGAACTACATCTCATGAGAACACGCCTACTGCCTTCCACAACATCAGTGCTTGTAACTGTCTCCCAGTTGGCAAGCAAAGGACAGGAAGGATGGGAAAAAATCCAGAAGGAATTCTAAAATTCTGTCAAGAGTTTGTGGAGCAGTGCCGGGTTATGGAGACGAATGTTCAGATTCAGGGGAGAAAAGCTGTGTCTGCTGCTCTAGACAGTGGCTCCTTGCCACTTTGACTATTTAAGCTGATTTTTTTTTTAAATAACGCACTTTGGTGTTCTGCCTGCATGTATGTTTACATGACGAAAGTGTCAGATTCCCTGGAACTGGAATTACAGATGGTTGTGAACTGCAATGTGGGTGCTGGGAATTCAATCCTGGTCCTCTGGAAGAGCAGCCTGTGCTCCTAACCGCTGAGCCATCTCTCCAGCTACCCCCCCCCCTTTTTTTAAATAAAGGGTTTCTCTGTGTAGCCTGGCTGTCCTTGAACTTACTTTGTAGACCAGGCCGGCCTCAAACTCAGAAATCTGCTTGCCTCTTTAAGTTGACTTTTAAAAATGAATGTAAGTTTAAAGTTCAGTTTCTCATCACCTTAGCCATATTTGAAGTGGGCTCAGTTTCACCTGTGGTTGGTGGTCACCTTATCGGAGGCACAGTTCAACCAGAAGCACTTACCATGGAGAAAAATTCTATCCACACAAGTCCCAATCTAGGTAGGTAGGCAGGTTAAAAGCAGGAGTTTTGTTTGTTTTCTGTTTTGTTCATTTGTGTTTTTAAAGACAGACTCTCCTGTATCCCGGGCTGGACTTGAGCCTGCTACGTAGCTGAGGAAGACTTTGAACTCCTGATTCTCCTGCCTCTACCTCCTGAGTACTAGGGGGACAGGTAAACACCACTATGCTGGGTTCAGTGGTGCTGGAGATTGAACCTGAGGTTTGTGCTAGGCAGGTTCTCCCCCAAAATGAGCTCCTGCCAGGCCCAAGAGACTGATTTTGAAAGAACCTTTGTGGAGATGGAGAGGAGAGCTTAGGTCTCTCAGTGCCTCGCTGCCTGCAGGTCAGCGGGCCCTGCAGAAGTCCTGTTGACACAGAGCAGGGTAATTGAGCAAGAGGTCGTAACCACAACCACAGAGCTGCTGCCACCCAGTCCCCAGTCCCCAGCCCATGGAAAAGTATGGTAATTACCTTGATACAATCTGACTACTGTTGTAAATTATTTACACAGCTTAGAGGTGAGCTTTGTTTTGGAGAAACTGATTCCTGGACATTAGAATTTTCCTTCAAAACCAAACCACTTCCGTAGCCTTGATCAACTCTCCACCTAGGGAGGGGATGTTCTCAGGACAGGGTAAGCGAATGGAAAAAGAAAAACAACTTAATTTGATGCCAATATTAGGTTAACCCTATGAAATTGTCATATTTATTGGTATATACTTGTTTATCTATCGGTTTTTGAGACGTGGTTTCTCTGTGTAGTCCTAGCTGTCCTGGAACTTGCTTTATAGATCAGTCAGGCTGGCCTTGAACTCAGCGATCTGCCTGCCTCTGCCTCGGAGTGCTGGGATTAACATCGTGTGCTGCCACCACTCTGAGAGGCTGCCATTTTTAGAGGTCAAACCCCAACTCTGTATCAGCAGTTTTAGGTGCTTCAGATGGAATAGCCCAGGGGAACCCCAAAGTGTTTGAATATCACCCTTCAGCATGCTGAGAACCAGGGACAGGTGCCCTAGGGGAGACCCAACATGACTCTGTCATAGTAGACAGAAGAAAAACAGCCACCACAAAAACTAACGCCCTTATTTGTGGTGGAGAAGCTGAGAGTAGCCATGCCTGCTTCTGCTCATGTGTTCATTGTGTGCTTGCTACAATTTTGCTGTAAATTCATTCATTCATTCATTCTTTGTTGTTGTTGTTTGTTCGTTTTGTTTTTTTTGTATTTTGGAGACAGGGTTTCTCTGTGTAGCTTTGGAGCCTGTCCTGGAACTCACTCTGTAGACCAGGCTGGCCTGGAACTCACAGAGATCCACCTGCCTGTGCCTCCTGTGTGCTGGGATTAAAGGCATTCGCACCACCAACGCCGGCCAGCCGGGCTGTTGTAAATTCTTTACAAGCTATTAACTCTTTTCTTCCTTGTAAGAAACTTCATAAATCACGGTTCTGTTTACCCTAGTGTTACACACACGGACTCTGGGCACAGAGAGGTGAAGTAATTTGCTCAAGATCACACAGCCCATACGTGGGATGAGGAGAGAGGGGCCAAGGCTCTGAGGCTCTGGAGAGTCCCAAGATGGACCCAACCGTCCCTAGAGGAGAGGCTCAGGATGGCAGAGTGTTGAGAGGTGTGTGTCAGCAGTGGGGCCCTCGCTGAGCAGGGTCAAAGTCAGACCCCTAGATACGCAGGTGCAGAGCCCAGTCTGGGAAAGCCAGGGCTCTTGAGACCCTGGGGTGAGACCCCCAAGTCTGCCCTGGGACACTCAGAAAGGGTGGAGAGCGGAGGGTTGATTTCCAGCTTCTGAACTTAGCAGAGAAGTCTGGGTTGGAGGGAAACTGCCTGCGCTAACCCAAGGCAAGGCCAGGGCTCCCCCTGCGAGCCTGGAGGAGCCTCGGGAAACAACCGCAGGGAGCTGCACACATCCCTTCCTACCACTGGTCCCGTGACCAGGGCAAATTTGCTTTCTTTGTTGTTTTTCTGTTTTGTGGCGAGGGCCAACAGGGGTGACTGCTGCTGTCCTAGCAAAGGAATTGAGTGTCACAGACAAACCCGAGACACCCCCAGCTGACTCGCACCCCAGCTCCCTGCTTAATCCTCCGGGGAAACAAGCAACTTCTGTTTCCTCTCTCCGACGTGCAAGGACCAACCCGGGCCAAGGAATCCTCTTCCCCTCCCCCTCAGTCCTGCCCTCCCCTTTCCAAGGTGGCCAAGAGTAAAGCGCAGAACTATTACCTGCGCAGCAGGACAAGTGGAAGGAGGCGAGGACCAGGCTGAAGAGCAAGGTGGCCGTCGGGGCAGAGGCGAGGTACCAGGGGAAGCAGAGGGAGACACCTGTCTGGGCCATGCTGGCGCAGGGGTGCCCCGGGCTGGGGACCATGCGTCCTGTGCGCGCTGTGTTTGAGGCGTCTCCTGTCCTACAAGAGTTGGGAATCTGTTCAATGTTTGGGGGAAAAAGAAAGAGGGTGGAGCCAAAGAAACTGCCCGTCAAACCCGCTCAGCCTCTGTAGCCCTGGCTGGGGGAGGGGAGGAGGGGCAATCCCTGCCCTCTTGTTTTTGAGGCAAAATTGTTCCCGTTAAGGAAACAATTGCTCCTTGGGGCTGAGCTTGCTGTCTCTTGACCTGCAGGTGCAGTGTGTAGTCTCTAAACCAGTCACGCTGCTATTTATTGAGCACCGACTATATGCACTGTACTATGCTACAGCCCGCAAACACCCCACACTCAGGACCCTGAGCAGCCTGGGCCATGAGTAAATGACTAAGGACTTTGAGCATTAGCAGCAAGAAGCCAAGTCACCTCTTCTGATGAGACACTTGAGGGAGAAAATGACATTTGCACTGGGCCTTGAAGCACGCGTAGTATTTGGGCAGGTGAAGAGGCGAAAGATGCTGTGGGGGGGAGGACAGACTCACAGAGGCCACCGACAACTGGTGCTCGAAGCCCAGTGAGACCTCGGCATAGGTAAATCTTGGTCAGGGTGGGAGTGGGAAGCCTTGGAGAGTCAGGCTGAGTATCTGTCTGCGCGCCAGCTGGGGCATGTGCGGTTGCATCGGGAAGCAAGGAGGAGGCTGTGTGAAGATGCCGGATTCTGACAGAATCCCGCTTTCAGTCTGAATGATTGGTTCTCACCTAAGTGTCCTCACCTAAGGCAGTGCATTCCGAGATCTCAAGTGGATACTTGAAACCATGAGCGCTGCTGAAGCTTGCTTGGTGCGCGCCCACACGCACGCACACTTTCCTAGAAATACCTGTGATAATGTGCAATTTATAGTTACAGCAAAAGATTGCTAACACAACTAATAACTAAACACCAACTATAACAGTATATTAAGAAACTATTTAGAACTTAGGAATGCTGGGTGGCGGTGGCATATGGCTTTAATACCAGCACTCAGGGAAGCCTCAGAGGCAGGTGGTTATCTGCGTTTGAGACCAGCTGGGTCTTTTTTTTTTTTTTTTTTTTTTTTTTTTTGGTTTTTTCCAGGCAGGGTTTCTCTGAATTGTTTTGGAGGCTGTCCTGGAACTCGATTTGTAGACCAGGATGGCCTCGAACTCACAGAGATCCTCCTGCCTCTGCCTCACGAGTGCTGGTATTATAGGCGTGAGCCACCAACGCCCGGTGACCAGCTGGGTCTTTAGAGGGAGTGTTCCAGGACGGTCAGGGAGACAGAGAGCCCCTGTCTTGAAAAACCAATAACACTAATAGTAACTTAGGAATTGTTTTTGTGAGTTTCCACTTAATATTATCAGACTACAGTTGGTGACAAGGACCTGAAGTGTGGGGTGGTGAGACCAGAGATGAGGAGAGATGACTGCAGTATGGGCATACTCACCTTGAGGGCGAAGGGCACCATGAGCCCAGCCAGCATTTGAGACTCTGGGGTGACCGAGAGTCTCTGTCCTTGAGGAGAGCACACTCCAGCAGAGAGACCAAGCAGGGAAGCATTTGCATGCCATGCTGTAAGACAGTTATGGGAAGAGGAAATGATTGACTCTCCTGAGAGGGGCAGGGGCGGGCTCACAGAGATGTGACCAGTAGGCTGCTGCGGAAGTTTGCGTGTGCGCAGAGGGGAGTTGGCGGGTTCTTCAGGTAGAACTTGACTCACACATCTAAAGGGAGAGCCGTGTGAGTGTGGCAGGCTGCCGTGTTTGTACCCACAGTCAGCCTAGTAAGAGCGTGGTGGACGCAATCCCACTCACTCAAAACTCTGGAGAAAGTCATCGTGCCTGGTGGCTCACTCCTGTAGAGCCAGCCCTCAAGAGGCCAAAGCAGGAGGATCAAGAGTTCGAGGCCAGCCTGGGCTACGTGAGGCCTTTTCCTCTCCCCCCAAAAGCCTGCAAGCCCCAACAACCACAAAATGTAAAATAAACCAGAAAAGCTCTATGGAAAGACATGGCAGCAGCCCAGAAGGACGCTTGCTTCCGATGTTTCCAAAGGAATAAATTAGTGGCAGCCCTGATTTGGATCATGGGTTAGAAGTGTTTCAGGCAGCTCAATTTCGGTCTTACCCAAAAATGTCCAGTGCAAGGCAACCACCGTTTGGATATTCACCAACGTCCAGGTAGCAACACCGTGCGCCCACCCTGTAGGGACTAAAGGGCTTGAGAGATGGAGATGGATGGTGTTCTTGGCCCAGCACCGTGAAGATGTGTAGCTCATCTGGCACAAGGGTCTCGGGACCTCCAGGATAGGTCCCCTTGTCTAGACAGCGAGCACACTGCTCTGGGCCACAGTTTAGCTGGATGGACTGAGAACAGGTTGTGGATGGCCTTGGATATGTGACAAAGGGAACTTCGTCTTACAATTGGGAAGCCATCTCTATGGGACTTTTAGGTACGGATGTGTCACGCTTCAGATGAGGTTTGAAGACAGACCTGTGTGCAGGGAGATCAGGCTGTCTCGGGCCCTGGCAGAGATCACCAGACTCTGAAATAAGAAGCTGGGTTGAAGACAGAGAAGAGGGCAACAGAACTGAGAGGCACCGGGAGGCCAGATCCCAAGCGGGTGTGGTGCGCACACCTGCACTTCCAGCGACTTCGAGCCTGAGGCAGGGGGCCCTGAGATTCAGGCCAGCCTGCGCACATAGCGAGTTCAGTGTGAGCCTGGGCTGTGTGTGTGTGTGTGTGTGTGTGTGTGTGTGTCTATAATTTTAAAAGAGGCTATGGACTTGAGAGAGAGGGAGTGAGGGGGTCTTGGGTGGGCATGGAGGGAGGGGAATATATATATTTCATATATATACAATATACATATATGAAAACTTAAAATAAATGTAACTTAAAAATTTAGGGAGGTGAAAGTGCATAGCTTAGTGGTAGAATGTTTGTCTACCATGTCCAAAGTCCCTGGGTTGTTCCATCCCCAGTACCTCAAAACTAGAAAAGAAGAGGCTACAGGTGGCCGAGCTGCGGGCTGGAGAGATGGCTTAGTGGTTAGGAACGCTTGTCGCTCTCTGAGTTCCAGAGTTTGATTCCCAGCACCCACACGATGGCTCACAATTGTAAGTCCAGTTCCAAGGGGTCCAATGCCCTTTCCTAACCCCCACAGGCTCCTGCAAGCTCATCTCACACACACGCACACACACACACTCACACACACACTCACACACACACACTCACACACACACTCACACACACACACACAGGCACATACGTAAAATGTATTTTTTAAAAATAAAGACCACATAACTGCACTTGCAGATGGTCCACGGTTGGTCCCTTGAAGCCACACTGGGTGACTTGTGACTGTCAGTAGCTCCAGCTCCAGGATTCCAGCCCATTTCTAGACTCTGCAGGGAATCTAAGAAACGGCCTCTATGAAAGGGTAAAGTGACTATGGAGTGAACCCAACCAGGATCAAATTCCTGCCCTGCCTCTCATTGGCTGGGTGGTCCTGGCCAGGTCATTTCATGCTTGGCCTCAGTTTCCCTATCTGAAAATAGGAGGGTAGTGTCCGCCATACTATTAGAATTCTCAGGATAACTCAATGAAATAATCCATGTAAAAGCACTTAGCACCCGGAGCAGGTGGATGGGCAGAGCTCTGAGCACTAAGCCCCATTTCACTAGAACTGGGAATGGCGGGAGACGCTTGCGGCTTGCACGCTGTCAGCACCGTTGAGGTAAAAATAAAGCAGTGGAAAGCTGACACTGTGGACCAGGCTTCTGCTGTGTGCCCCGACTGAACCTCAAAAATGGGGTCACTCATGCCAGCATCCCACAGTACCACACTGAACCCCAGCTACTTATCTGGCTTCCCAAGGTGTCAGGAAATGGCCAGTTTGTAGCCACTTTCCCTGAGTTGGTGCTCTCCAAGACAGGTAACGTGATGTCAGCTGGTGAGTCATTTTCCCAACGCTCTGTCCTTTTGTCCACTCCTCACAAGGACACTCACTTTGAAACGACCCATCTGGGCTTCCCTCATCCTTCCCTGTCTATACAGACAACTCTTCTGCTCAGCGCTTTGGAAAACCGATTTGGTGTTATAGAATGAGGCATTCCACTCTGGAATCACAAATAAAGCCAATTATGATCTTTAAATTGTGGGTAATTTTGCTGAGAGTACCAAATCCAGAGAGGAATTTATTTTCTCCCAAAGCCACCCCCCCTCCATAAACAAATCCTTCAATGATTTCCTTCCAATAAACCTTACAAAGAGCATTGAAAAGCAGCATTGATATATCTGGTTGGCATTAGAGGGCAGAGCAGGGCACAGAATCTGCAAGACTTCCAAGGATCTCCAAAATGTTCGAGACCTGACAAACATGTCCTCAGGTCCAAAGTACGAACAGATTCAAAGGACTAAAAAACAAACAAAATAAACAGACTTGAGGCAGAGTAAATAACTATGACAAGCAAGAGCAATTGTTTCTCAAGACAGGGCTTCTGTGTAGCCCTGCTGTCCTGAAACTCACTCTGTAGACCAAGCTGGCCTTAAACTCAGAAATCCTCCTGCTTCTGCCTCCTGTGGCCAGCTGGGGTTAAAGGCATGGGCCACCACTCATATACATTTACTATTTTAAATTTTTATTATTTATGCTGCCTGCATGAGTGGTGTGTGTGTGTGTGTGTGTGTGTGTGTGTGTGTGTGTGTGTGTATACATGTGTGCAGGTGCCCAAGATGTGGAAGAGGACATCTGCTCTGGAACTGAGGTTACAGAAGGTTGTGAGCTGTCGTGTGGGTGCTGGGAACTGAACTGAGGTCCTGGAAGAGCAGCCAGTGCTCTTGCCCACTGAGCCATGACTCTGGTCTGAGTATGTTTCACTATGTTCGGTAGGAGTCGAACCTATCCTTCAGAAATAGTAAGTTCCAGGTACTAATGGAGATTTTAATGACACCCTCACGGTTGCTGTGGTGATGGTTTAGTCACCCTGACCTAACTGACATCATCCTAACAAATCTATGAGGCAGAGGATGTGGGGGAGGAGAACGGTCCAGCCCCCCACTTT